CTCTAAAAGTCTTATATAACTTTCCCTTGTGTTCGAAAAAGCAGCAGTCAACATCTACCGTCATCTACTATCTTCAGTAATGTGAACAATCGGTTCATAAAAACTTGTATGTTGTAATTAAAATTTCGATACACTATACTATACTACGTTTATAATATTTATTGTATTTTCACAATTTTTCCACTTCGAAAGACTCAACGATCATGTCTTTTCAAATAGGATTTTCGTTCAGTATTTATTTTTTATTACTTTTTAAGACGATTTCAACTTATTTGAATCTGTTTAAATCTTTAAAATATGTAGCACTATAGTGATAACCCTAAATGAATTGTAAAATTTACAACTCCCTCCAATGAAAACAAACCATGACCTCTCAAACAATGATACAAAACAATGACAAACCATGATATACTAAAAGAATGAAAGATGGATTGGTTATCTACCCTCAGTAATCCGTAAGTTGAGAAAAATGTCTTCCTAACAACAATTATTTAAAAAACATAAAACTCCTTCTTGTAAAATGGCAAACGTAATGAAAATAATATTAAGGCACCGAAAAGAAAAATTCAATTCGAAGCCTTTGGGCTAGACTTAAGCCTTTATAAAGGGACAATCGAATACTGTTTCCGTGGTGACAATAGAAAATATACATGCATAAATTTTTACAAACCTTTCTAGCACTCTAATTATCCTCCAGTGTTCAAAGTATTTTGCATAATCGAATGCATAAATATAATACAACATACTTGTATAAATTTACTAAGTCAACTGTACTGAAACACCCTTTAAAATAAATGTGGTGCTGGCATTAAGCAATTAGGGACTGGCACGCGCTATTCACAACAACACTTTTTGTGTGGAAGTGTCCCTTTAATACGTGTATTCACACTTAATAGCTTTAAATTGCCGCACAATAATTGCAACAACAACAACGAGAGTAACAACGACACACAACCATAACTACTACGAAAGCATGTAGACAAGCGAATAAAGGGTATATCAGCAGGTTGTCGCATTTTAATTGAAATATTTGAAAACGCTCACTGCATATGCACAGCGGTGAGGGGTGGGAAATGTGTTGGTTTGCGGTGTGAAAATGACTTTTATCTGTGTGTGATTTGTACGTAAACCGTCCGGAAGGTAGGTAAGCCACTTAAGTGCTACCCTCTGTACAATTTCTCTTTATACTCTTTATGACATATTAGTGAACTCGTTCGTATTCGAATTTAGTGTGGCCCTCTTGTAATCGCACCTCGTTTTACGTCTTAAATACGTTTATACTGTAGTCACCCAAACTGTCACTGTAACTGCACACTAACTTTTATATGAATGGGTTTATAAAAGTCATTTGATTGAAAAGTTTCAGTTCTAGACGTCATAGTAAAATTTTAGTATAACTAAAGTTTATTACCAGTCTACTACTTTTTCGTTTGTTTTTACAGATACAGTAGAGGCTCACAAATTAGAACTCTTATAAATTCGATTTATCCAGAAATTAGAACCAAAAAAATGTCAATACTATGTATGCACTAAAACCTCCAAAATAGAACTCTTGGTTCTATTTTTTGAGCAAATTCTTCTTTCTGTTTTTTTTTTAGTTTTATATAAATTAGTAAGTAGATAAGTATTATTAAAAATAAGAAAATAAAGGAGGGTACTCCCAAAATGCGCACTTTCATGCAAGTTCAAAACGGATCTACATATGAGTTCAATACCGATAATGATACTTCAAATAACATTGATGACGTCCACAATCTCACACCAAATGTGTCTCATTCTGGGACGATTGAAATCTGCACTCGCTAATATCTTAACAAATTGTTGCAAAAAGAATGACTCGTTTCCTACTGATCATATGACCTGGCCAATCTTTTAACTCTTCGTAACGATAACATTGTAAAAAATTTGACTAAACATACAAAACAAACAAACATTACTGAAGAATTGATTTCAACTGTAAAAAAAACTTTTTATATAGAGTTTAAATTTTTTGATCGTTTTTTATGTATGTAAATAAAAAAAACACCCAGAAATTAGAAACTTTTCGCAAATTCGAACTACCCGAAAAACCAACTGGTTCTAATTTGGGAACTTCTACTGTATTCACTTAATTATTTATGAGCTTATATTGATTTCAAAAAAAAACTATACAAAACTATATATATATTGACAGATAATAATGGAATTAATCCTTAAAAGTCTGTAGTTGTTCATCTTTATATAAAAAAAAAATCACAACAAGGTCTTGGAAAAACATAATGTATCTGACACAACTATATTTTTGTTTTGCTCCTATTGATTTCTCAACATAATGCTCCTTTAACAGTATACATTTGATCTAACCTTTCTACTTTATTCTGCTATATTTTTGTTTGATACTTATTGATTTCTCAATGTAATGCTCCTTTAACAATATACATTTGATCTAAAAATTCTACAAAGTATTTAAAGATTCTTAAATATTAATTTTGTTTTTTGATTCGTCTCCGAAACATCCTTAAGGTAGAAAACTCATTGTTATATATTATTATTATTATTAATTGAAATCATAATTACAAGTTCAAAGAGTTTTAGTGAACAGGGACCTATAAAAAACCACGCTTTTAAAAAATAAGTACTTAAATTTGATGAAATGATAATAATATATCTGCTTAAAAATTAAATAAATTTTCTATATCAAAGCCAAGACAGTCTTTTGCACAAATTAACTCTCTCCCTCTGAAGAGACTAACTGAATACTTTGCTAAGAATGTTTATAATCATGTTGCAGATATGACTTCATAATAAATTACTAACATTCCTGGTAACATTTTATTTACAAGGTGAGTTCCAATATAAACAGATCTTTTTATAAACACAAATCTTTCGAATAAATTCTATGTCCACAATGCGCTTTGTTTTCGTCAATAATTGCATTTTCCAAAAAAAAGTCAATGGAGAAACTTTTCTAATGCATTTAACTACTAATGGATGATTTCTCTTTAATCACGTATTTTTTTAAAGTACAGTTTATTTCCGGAAGCACTTTATAATTACTTAAAAATTAAAAATTAATTTCATTTGATTAGTTTTTGACTAATTGATTTTTTTATTTGTTTTTAATTAACGAGTACAAGCTATAAAAGTAAACGATTTGCTTCAATTGGCTTACATCCGAATTTAATGCTTTGAAGACCCTCTACCCTCTGTTCATCTCTTAATTTTAGAGTTCTTAGATATATATTAAATTACTCAAGGTAATGTTATAATAATGTGCTGTGAATTTCTAAGTCAATTGAAAGTTTTACATTGGTATATAAGCACCATATAGTAATAGTTTCTTCTTGTTTGTGATAGTTTAGTCAGTGAAAGTGTCAATATTTCTAATTTTCAATATTAACATTCTTTTGAAGACTTAGTTTCCAGGCTTGCAATAAAATTATTACAATATTCTAAAACTAAAATCTGAAACCTCTTTGAAGCAAAACTGCATTCCCTTTTTTATAATAAGGGTTAGTATCTGATTCATTATTGTATACCTTTTGCAAGTTTCGCAAAATAACTGTAACTATGCAAAGTACCTTAACTTAACAAATGCTGTCATCTACATAAATACCTTTATACTGGTATGTGATGTGTCATAATATAATAATACAACCAGTTACTGCAAGACATACATTAAGGAATTAGACTTGAATACAAGTATATCAACCCATTCAAGTAGAAGAGAACCAATCTAGCAAGTCTATAAATTTGACTGTGTCACCCTAAAGGATAACAGGAGAGCTCTTTCAGGTTAGAAAGAAAAGAGGATTAAAAGTTTTGGCATCACTTCCTAGACAATGATTGGCACGAAAACTTAAGATGGAGCACTATAGTTACTTTCTCATCTACACAACTACAAGCCTGACTAAAATCATTAAAGGATAGACCAAATTTAATTACATGCCATCTTAACGCGCATTGGTCTGTCGGTACTAATACCGTTGTACTGTATTGGTTTCGCTATAGTTAAAGCAGTTAATTGCTTTGAATATTAACCAATTTGGACTAGGTGAGTCTTATATACTGACAAGAATATACATCTATACAGGCTTTCATTTCCGAAATTAGAATGTACTATGCATTTTGAACAATTTATGTAGCAGTCAAAGAAACCGAGCATATTAGAAGAAATATACTTGGCATGATGACAAATGGGTAACTAAATACAAAGAAAAAGGAAGCGATATCGATATATATTCGTATTACGAAACAATAAAATGATCCAAAACGTTAAATTGTTAATCAACAGATTACATATAAATGGTAATTACCGCTATATAGTTTCTACTATGTCACCACTAGAAAATATCTGTCCAAATAAGTTCACGTAAAACGCAGATCTTGTTCTCCATAAAAAGAACATAAATCAGAAATATATACAGACAGCAGCCTATTTAAACTAATGATTGAGTAAGAGACATTTGTAGTGACTATATCGTGAATAAAAAAACACAACTGTGAAACAGTGCAAAATGGATTAAGTACATAAAAAACCCACACTTTTTGAAGTACAAGCTTTATATGTATATTCGTTGAAGATTTCCTACTTTTATAAAAAACTATACTACATATATGTTAGTGTATATATGTGTTTAAACATACATATATACCATCTATATATACAATAATATTAAACAGTAATAGTATATTCATGGAAACTAGCATTCCATAAGCTTTAAAAATGAGTCACGAAAATATACGAATAGATAGATTCGATTTATCGGACTAATCAGGAATATATAGGGTTCATTGAACATCTTTCTCCTTGCAAATTTAATGTATCCTATTTTATAAGATAAAGATTATAAACGATGAAGTGTATTATATGATTATAAATTCTAAATTTATAGTGGATTCATTGAGACCACAAGATTTTAACATTTAAATCAATAAGTTTAAATCAATATTTTTTTTATTTTTTTGTTGACAATCAACTTATCGTAAAATACAAATCTATTTATACTATTAACCTTCAGGCATAAGATTTCCTGCTGCCGCATCATCGCCAGACACGAATAACGCAAAATCCATTAGTCTAGTCTCATCATCACAAAATGCAAATTCAACTCAGGATATAACAAAGCGTACAAACAAGCCACTCATGGAGAAACGTAGACGTGCACGTATCAACCGCAGTTTGGCCATACTCAAGAATTTGATTATGGAATCAACCAAAAATCAAAATTCCAAGACAAACGATGGTCAAACAAAGCATACTAAACTCGAAAAGGCCGACATACTTGAATTGACTGTTCGCCACTTTCAAAGACATCGAAATATCGATGATCCGAGTAAGTATAAGCAAATTAACTAAACACAATAAACCAATCATTTTCAGATATAGGTTATACTAATATTAATTATTAAAATAATATATTTTAATTGATTGTTGTTACAGCTGTTAATAAATATCGTGCTGGGTATACGGATTGTGCTAGAGAAGTAGCTCGCTATCTGGCGACACCGGAACCGCCCCCAATCGCAAACATGCCTGCTTTATCAGACCCAGCAGCGCAAGCGCGCCTCTTACAACATTTAGATAAATGTATTGCTGAAATCGATACGGAAATTTGCCCCATTTCAGCTGGTACATTTGTTAATAGTCCCTCAAATAGTTCATTTGACATGAATGCAGCTCCTAAGAAAACGTGAGTACCAAAGTCAATTTTGTTGAATATATTTTTTTAAAAAATCAATAATTTTATTGAAATTGATAAAAATTTTTTTTTTAAATTTATTTCTTTTTCTTAAAATTTTCTATTAACTATTCCCAAACCTCAGCGATATCTCCAGTTTTAGCATTGGCCAGACTCTCACTTTTATAAATCCGTCTAGCTGTTTCTAGTTCGAGCTTCTTCTACCCACTATTACGAGGAATTGTAGATTCAATACCGCTTTCTTAGCTAATTGATGGGGGTTCATTACTGCCTCCGCTCAACTAACTATTCCTAAAACTTTAATTTGTTTATTTCTAAAATTATTTTCATGTTTTTAAACTAAAACAATATGTATAACTTACTTTTAAAATTTTTTATTTTTTCATTATAAATATATATAACTTTTCTTAATTAAAATGATTAAGACTTAATTAATGATTAAAATGATTAAGAAAAGTTAAATATATTTATAATTTATAAATTTTTTTTAAATTAATTTAATTTTTTCAGTTTTTAGAATTTTATTTGTTTAAATTATATATATATATTTAGTTAAATTTATATTGTTATAGTTTTTTTCTAAATTATTAAAGTTTTGTTTTTTTGTTTAAATAATGTCTTTATTAAATTTTTGGAAAAGTGTGTAAATTTATTTTATTAAATTTAATTTCTTAAATAAATAGTTATTAAATAATAAATAAAAAATCGCTTCAAAAACTATAAAAAATATTTTTTTATTCTGCTATAATATACTTCGTCTTAAATTAATTTAAAATTATATTCTTGAATTGTTTTAATTTTATTCCAAAATCAATGTTGTTTCCATTTTAAAATTATTCAAATATTTTATCAATAATTTTATATATCATTAAATTATAAAATTAATTTTTTACACATAATTATTATTAATATTTGTTTAATACCCTTTTTATTATTGTAAAATGAGATATACTATATTAATTATTAGGCAAGTGACTTTAAGACAAATAAGTTGATGTCCATATAAACGATATATACATATAAATATTCTTTCAATACAAAATTATTACAAATTATTATTAAATTATTATATAAAAAGAGGTTTTTCGAACAATAGTGAACTACAACAACAAAAATTAATTTTATATTATTTTAATTAATTGAATTTTTGGCTGACCATACAACTGTTTCGAGTATTGCCAAATACCCATCATCAGTGGTCTTGGAAATAATTCTTGTTAAAATTTTTATTTATATATATAATTCTTATTTGTATATATAATTCTTTTTATATATATATCAATATTCTTTCAATATAAAATTTTTATTTAATAATTATTATTTATTTTTAATTCCGAATGTTGCTAAAAAAATTAAATTACCTAATGGCACATTTATTGGTTAATATGTTAATTTTGTATTTTTTTCTCATTTTTTTTTTCGTTTTTAATGCTGTTAAGATGCACATCTGCATCTACCGATACATAATTTATAATAATTTACTTGATTTTAATTTGGAGTGGATCCCACTTTGACTTACCTGACCTTGTTCAACAACTGAACAATAAAATTCAAATTGCTACTATATATTAATGATATGATTTCTCTACGAAATTTTAATATATTTAAGTGTATATTGTTATTTTATGATTGCAAAAAAATTTTATTGGTTCATATATTTCATATTTTTATTATATAGTTTTCATTTTTAAAATAATTCAAAATTTTAATAATTTTTTGCATAATCTCTTATACAATCAGCCGGTCATTATAACTAGCAAGTAATTGGTTTTATCGCTTACCCGCTAACTCGTCTAATCTCTCAGCCGCTTAGCCCCACATCCGCTCAATGCTTGTTCGCACCTTTTTTAGGTTTGACTTACATTACTATACACATATATCAGAGGTCGGTATTTTTATTCCTTGATGCTTATTACTAAATGCGTTTTAAATATACACACAGTAAAAACTTATTATAATATTACTTATTTTATTCGTTCTGTTACTGCTAATTTGATTGAAATATTATATACACAATAAAAATCTCAAAGTAATTTAGATTCGAACATGGCACAGTGACAGTCCCACTCCCAAGTGAATTTTGGAAAACGATTAAATATTTTAAAATCTATTCGAGACTTTATAACGTCTTAAATCTGTAGTGAAATCTTTATCCATTCAGTTTTTGAAGCTTCCTTGAACACATTGACATCTTGATCTTGAACATTGTTTAACGGATATTGGTGGTTAATGCGTTGACATGTTCACTCTCTCACTGAAGTATTGGAAAGACAGATATGTCTTGGTATTCGCATTTACTAAAGACCATCAAGGCATTACAAACTGTGACTATTCGAATGTCTAAATTTTTATATTATGAATCTGTAAAGTAAAATTAATTATTGTGTTAAATATTATCCTGTTTGGATATCTTAGCATTTTACTTTTAGCTCGAGTGGCTTCAATCGTAGATATAGTTTCTTTTTCTCGACTGAAGCTATATATTATAACATTGCAATTTAACTCGAACAACTTCAGTAGTAGATATAGTTTCTTTTTCTCGACTGGAGCTCATAGAGCTGTGTAACCCTATACGATGGCGTGCGATTGGAATCAAAAGTCATTAGTTGTTTTTCGCTTAAATATTCGAGCATCGTACCATACTATTACTTTTAAAATCCTTAACGAATCAATTTTTTTAAAAAACCTGAGACGTAAATGCATCTTCAAGCCCCGAAATAATAAAATCAGCTATCATTAAGCAAAATATTAAACATTGTTAACACAGTATTATCACCTAATAACATAAGTTTAAAGTTAATTATAGTTAAGTTGAACTACCTTGAATGATCTTAAATAAACATGTGTGATCCAATGGGAATCGAACAATACCACCACACCTACTTCTGATGATGTACAATATTTAATAACAATCTTAACAGCCGCAAACTATTTTAACTGGTGTCAAAATGCACATTAATAGTTCTTTTAAGAATATATAACCATTATGTTACTTGTCAAAGAAAAATTTAATTCTTTTTTTGTTATATATTTGCAGTCAATCTGATGAAAACTCATTGGATTTCGGTAGTCAAGATTCGAATCCGTTAGACTTTAGTAAGGCAACAGCGCATGTACCGCTAGCGAAAGCTGGCTTTGTATGTCCGACTGAAGCTCAAGTAGTGCATTCTACTATATCTCCTGTCTCGGAACATATGACCTCACAGGTGAGAGTAATAAGAGATTTTCAGATTTCTGTATTTAACTGAAATGACATTTTTACTACAGGATGAAAATAACAATCGTGGTCAGCAAGAAACTGTACTCAATAACAGTAACAATAATAACGAGAATATGAGACAGTTGGTAGGTGGACTAGCTGGAATGATCAATGTTAATACAATACAAAATTTTGAGGAACGACAAAAAGTAAGTAAAACTGTTTTCATAAGCTACAGGCGGCTTAAGACATTCCAGAATTTCTTTAGATTTGCGCAAATATGTTGGAAGCAAATAAGGAACTTAAAGTAAGTGATACAAACGGTGGGATATTGGTATTACCACCGCATTATGTACAACTGGCTGCTGCACTAGGTCTAAACGCACAATCTATTGTTGATCCGATTGCAACACGTACTGATTTCGAACGTTTAATCGAAATAAATCGCGTACAACCGCTTGCAGCGCAACTCGCAACAAATAAGATAAGCGCATTTAATGTGCCGGCATTGGAAGCAGCACATGTTGCTGCCACAGCCTATGCAACGATAGCTAAAGAAACTGGTGCGACCTTACAAATTGAGCGTCCTGCCTCAGCAACATCAGTTGGTGCATCAACATCGCTAAGTTCGTGCACATCGGAAACGAAGACAGCATTGCAATCACCGGAAGGTACCAACATAACCGAATCTATTGACAGTCCACAGAGTATTGGCGTTGGTGTTAGCGTACAAAATCCAAACAACCTCAATCGTTTATTACAAATACAAAAACAAATGGCGGTGACAAGTGAAGTTATTGTACGACCACCACATCCCGAACAACAATTGCAGCAACAATTGCAACAACAACAGCAAATACAACAGCAGTTGCAACAACAGCAAATACAACAACAATTACAACAGCAACAAATGCAACAATTACAACAGCAGCAACAACAACAGTTGCCACAATTACCACAATTACCACAACTGCAACAGCAGCAAATTCAACAACAAATACAACAGCAACAATTGCAACAACAGCAATTACAACAACAGCAACAAGTGCAGCAACAAGTTCAGCAACAACAACTGCAACAGCAACAATTTCAGCAACGATTACAAATGCATTTACAACAGCAAAAGCAACAACAAGACGAAAATATGTGGCGCCCATGGTAGAGTAAGTTAAAAAAAAAGAGGGAGAAAAAAATATTCTGCACTAATATTTCAAATCGCTCTCTTTCACTCGCTTACATTTTGTATAGTACTCAAGTAAGAAAGATGAATTGTAGATTTCACAGCTTTTTATATACCAAGTATTTAGCTTTAAATACCCATATTTATTATTAATTAAACAATTTAGTAATTAACAATGAATTTATATTTTTACTAAGATGTACTAAATATGTACTATTGTGCTTACAAAACAATTCATTTCATATATTATTAGAGTAATAATAATAGTAATATAGAAAATTAGTTGTTTCACTAAATTGTTTCATGTAAATTAAAAATAAAAATAAATATTAATGTTGTTATTAATTTTTAAGAAATTTAAAAATAATTCTATACTAAGATTTATTAACAAATGGCCAGGTATGCAATTGAGTTTATAAAAAGTGGGAGTTAAGATTTCTTTGCGAACAACATTTGTAATTTTATCGTTTCTTATCTATATTATACCATATATATTGTATATTTTCAACATTTTGAAACCTTTCAAAAAATCTGATTATCCTGAATAATTGGTGAATAGAAGAACATAACTTTTTTGTATTCTACCCAGCGTCTACACTGGCAAATTTTTGCCAAAGTTATTGCATACACTATTAGTTCCAATTATACCCACACATTTTTTTGAACTTTCCAAAAAGTTGCAATAAAAATTTCTGTCCTAACTTTTTTTCAAAAATTACGTATTTCCAGTCGATTATTTGAAACTTGCTAATTTAGACGTAAGGCTAGAACTAACTAACTAAAAATTAAATAAATATATACTGGTTCGCTGGTGATCAACATTTTAAAGTGCCTAGTGCATTGCTATTTTATATACATATGGTATATATTTTGTTTTTTTGACTTCAATATGATGAATAATATAAAAACTAAAAAACATATATTTAAATGCTAATGATATAATTTGAGAGTATATAATTATATATATTTTATTATGCAAATGAAATAAAAAATATTTTGTACTAAAAATCAAACAAAAAGTACTGGTGAATCCATAAATGCTCTGAAGTACTTACTGATCATTATATATATCATGAATATTTAACGAGAGATTGATCAAAAAGTAACGATAATTCTATATTTCTTATTAAAGTGTTTATTAAATTTTCAAAATTTTATTCCATCCCTTTAAAATAATCTCGCTTCAATATTAGATAGATCAATACGATCATATATAAGTCTGATCCTGACCTTATTCTGCATTTGGCCTTTAATTAAACTATTGTGTTACTCACTTGTGTTACTTTCTGTGTTTGAGAAATAGAAGAAAATACCTAGAGTGATATTATAATTTGCTATTAACTGTTAAATAAACAAAACTGTATTCTGTGGTTTCGGCATAGATTTCATTGTCACTTGTTTCGTGTCTAAGACATTCATAAACATCAGTTTTCGTCATTCCTAAGATTTCAACAATAATCTCCCGAATTACAACATTTCTGATTATATATATTTCTTATTATATATAATAATAGTTCTTATTTATTATAATAAATAAGAAATCATTATAATTTATTAATGCAAATTATATATTATGATTTGATGATTTTGTTTAATCTTACATTATGCGTATTGTTTTACCCATTAATAAGACAATATGATTTTTTTACTTGAGTTTAGTTTGCGCTCTCCAATTAGTTCTTTCAAAGTTCCTGATCGTTCCGCTACATAACCGAATTCTTATGTCCGGAGAGATTTTCTGTATAGTACATGAAATTTTTAGCACTCTTCGATATACCCATTATTTTATTATTCCATTATACCCATTATTAATTACTCAAGCTGCCGAGTGCGTAGATAAATACTAAGAATAGAAGTACATATAATAATAAGTTTGTATATTTTTTTTTTTTTTTTTTTTCCAAAAAAAGGAAGGGTTGGAAGTAGTCTCCGCGTCACTGCATCCTCGAGGATTATTGTGACATACTCACTTCAGTTCCATAGACGAGTAGCAGTTAAGAATGCCAGTATGTCCTTTGGAGAGATGTTGCCTACTTCCGTTATAAGCGGATAGGCAATGGATAAGTAACGAAGTCTGAGTCTTGCAAGACTATCACAGTGACACAATATGTGTTCTGCTGTTTCCTCTTCTTCGTAACAAAGTCTACAGCTAAGTTTGTATATTTACTAATTGTTTTATTATTTCTTATTTTTATGAGTTTGTGGTAGTAGATATAGCAATATGTTATAGTTGTTTAATTCCTTCGAAACCTATGTGTATATTGAAGAAACATAAGTAAACTGCAACGTTGTCACATTTCGTTTATGATTTCTTAGTCGGTCATATATTATGACTTATATTTTGGAGTTATTGATTGATCGTAATGTCGAGAGAGACTGATGGTTGGTAAAACTTTTCCTTTAGTAGAACAATGAATGCCTCGATTTGACCTCTTTTTTGTTAAGTCATCTACATATCTTAAAAAACTAATTTTGGTCACTTCCACAAATATATCTTCATCCCAACATAAATATACATACATATATTCCAAATTTTAAAATCAAGATGGATAATGTACTCGACGTATATAAAGCTCTGCTTAGTATCACCTTCACTTTTTATATTATATATAATATCGAATGTGAATGAAAAGTGAAGTGCAAAGAGAATTATTTTATTATATATTTATTATAATTTATAAACAAAATTAATAGACTTTTCTTTCAATATCATATTGAATTATCTTAAATATATTATATTCTATATATATGTTAATATATATTTATTTACTAAGAAACCCCTTTTACTCTTAATCCTCCCGTCAAATATATTTATCTAATAAATTTAATTTTTTGCTAACTTAACTTAACAAATATAGTTTTTACGTTTAATCAAAAATTAACAATTTTCAAGTAATTAATTTTTTTAAATTTTCTTGATTTTGTATGAACAAAATTATTATTTACATATAATGTAAACAGTCTTATCAAATTTTTTTCGTTTAAAAATTTTTTTGAAAAGAACTCAAAAAAAAAAATATTGTATGAAATACAATCAAATTTAATAAACTCTTAATTGCTTATTATTGCCATTTTGATAATATATAAGATTATAAGAAATCAATGTTTGTAAAGGTTATAGAATAGATATATATTGTATAGATTAAAAGATTTTTAAAAATAGAAAAATGCCATGTATGTGTACACCGCTTCGAATTTATTGAATATAAATCTGATTTAAAAATATTTTTTACTTTTTTAATTAGATATACAATTATGATATAAACTATTATTATATAAAACATTTATACTGGCACATAATTTGGGTCTTAATATTTAAATTTATATTAATTAATTTATAAATGTTATAAAATATATATAAATATAAATTACAATAACATTTCGTTTATAACACACACATGTAAATTGAATTAAAATTCATTCATAAATATCTATATAATATTAATTTCATTTTTGTATAAAAGAGTTTTTATGCATAATATATGTGAATATGATGTTACTTGAATATTTAATTAAGCATATATACTATATATAATATAATAAAAGTGCATATAAAACAACAGCAATGTAATATATAAATAAATATATAATAGTAAGAAGTACTTTGATTTGCTTATTGTAAAAAAATAAATGAAAAAAATTATCTTATTGTGGTGAATATTTATATTCACTATGTGGTGTACTAATTAATCCGTAGCGGTGATTAAAATTTAAACGCAGCAGAGTTGATGTGCATTTTAAATGTTATATAAAATTATTTTTGCAATTTTCTTAACAAAATTATTGTTGTTAACTATAAAGCACTATTTAATTACAATAATTATTCATTGAAAAGGTAATAAGAATTTTAAAAATAGTCAGAAACCGATCGAATAATAATAAAAAACTACAACAAATTTAAAAAAATTATTAATATACTGAATGAAATAAAAGTAACACTTGATAAAACAATAAATTTATATACAATATATAAATAATATTAAATATAAATATTTCCAAAGTGTGCCAATGCCAAAGAGACTATATTATTTATAGAACTATATATGTGTGGCAATCTCTATCTTTATGTACTATTTACCTAATACCAAATAAATATTAAAAAAATATTTTCAATTGATATTATTATTACTATCAGACCAATGGAGTAGGTTTATAGATTTTAAAATTGCTATCAAATTAGAACGAAAAATTACATTGTGATTTAGAAAAGTATTAATGTTAATAATTTTGTGACCAAATAATTTTAATAAGTGTTTATTTTTTTTTATGAAAAGTATTAATTTAATTCTTTTAGTTTTTAAGTTCTTAATGCTAAAAATCGTCGTTAAGAAGTTTAACGACACGGTTTATTCGCGTAGGTATGCTTAGCCATTGTCCAGGGGTCGTTGTAATTTATTTTTTTATTTTTGAAAGTCAAAGGCAATTTGATGGATTTTATTTATTAATTATTATTTATTGAACAGAAAATTTAAGAATCTAATAAAATTACAATATACTGTTAGTTTAATAATTTGTTCTCTGTGATTATTTCTTGGAAAATAATCGTGCTTTAGTAACTGGTCCGGACGGTTGTATCTATGCTCTCAATCAGACGACACTTCTCTTGTTAGGCTTGGTGTTTGGAGAAAATGTCATTAGCTGGAAATTAGAACTTTATGCTGGTAACTCAATACTAAATTCAAAATGTACTAGTCAAGATGTATGATGACTACTTTCACACGATTTACATACAAGATCTACTGGTCAAGATGTATGATGACTACCTTGACGCAATTTACATGCAAGATCTACTGGTCAAACTGTATGATGACTACCTTGACATGATTTACATACAAGATGTGTGATGACTACCTTGACACGATTTACATACAAGATCTACTGGTCAACATGTACCTATGATGACTATCTGGACACGATTTACATACAAGATCTTCTAAAAAATCTCTACTGTCTTTTTTACAAAGATGTACTACTGCCTTAAAGAATATTGAAACACGTGAAGTCTTACAGCTTATCTAGCGTTTATTTATACTCATTGTATTATATTTTTAATATTAATTAAAATATTATATTTTAATAACATTAATTATTAATAAAATAAAAAAATATAATATATAATTTTTATTATAATATTTCATAATTCAGATATTATCCAAGTAATTAACTTCTTTAAATCTTTTTGATTTCATATAAATGAGATGATAATACTACCCAATTATCACGTTCCCATCACAGTACTTCATTTTTCTCTAAACTCCTTCTTATTTTTAGAAGATCTAGATTGTTGACGGTAGGAGTTGCAGCATCAACTCTATGAACAATATATAAATCTACTCAAAATAAAATAAGAAAGTTAACATAATTAAACAAGAAAGTAAACATAATCCAAGCAGTTCAACTCAGATTGCTGGAACAAACGGGTCTGCGTTTAGAAAGCATGGAAAGCGATATTGGAGTATCTATTTCGATCTGTCTTGGGCAATTGGAAACACTTGTATAACATCTTGACGAATATGGTTGATACTTAATACAAAAAGTCAAGGATGCTACTCAATTTACCAATATCTAAATATATATCTAAAATCGTGACTTTTAAAACCAATCACTGGTTATTTGGTAGTTACGCTCTTACGATGGCAATTCCATCTTATGAATATTGTAGAAGTTGAAGAGATGAAGTGAAACTATAAAACAATTCTGCAGTTACCTAAGTATTTATCTTACTTAATCATTAACTCTCTCATAAAAATATTCAGTACCGAAATAATCGAACCATAAGTAAAATAGTTAAGATCCCGCTTTAAACAGTGGTAGTATCTCAGTGATTTTGGTTAACTAGGTCTAATTAATGTAGTGTCGAAAATATATTCACAGAAATTTGTTCTATTAGGAATCCAGAAAATTATTATCATTTAATTCATAAGCTCTATAAACACTATAGATACTTTAAATATAAAATTTAAGTACCAGATATATAAAATAAACAAGTATGGCGCCATATTTTCAAGATTTAACGTTTTTAGAACTCAATGATCAAATAAATATATTCATAATGGTATTCTCTTCCTCTAATCCATTTAAAAATTATAAATTTTTGATTAAATATTAAAATATTTTTGATTAAAATATAACCTCATCTACGTAAAAAAGTTTCCAACTATACTTTCTTTTTTAATAATATGTCTATTTTATAATACTCTTATCAAAAATAATTAGAAGTTTCCCAGTATATTAGAAATGCACAAATACTATAATAATATAATATAAAAATATTTTAAATATTATTTGAATTTTTTATTAAAATATATTTAGGGTCAAATTATCGATAGATTAATTGAAAAATATTATCTTATTTTATTTCACTATTCCATTATATTAATATGATTTCATTGCTTTACAACCTTGTTAATGCACATACCTATATATAGAAATATATATTATATATATATAGAAATAATACTGTGAAGCATTAAAATAAATTAATTCTGTATCAAAAATTCACTGAACTATTATTTTTAGTTAATATATGCTTCATACGACTCTTGTTGTAGTTTAAACTTTTATAAGGATGATAAACTAAACAGGCTTCCTTAAGAATACCGCCTCCGTCCATTACACCGCATCATAGTTACATCCTTGAGTTTTCATTTAAAATCTAACTTTTTAAATAATTTATTGTGTCATAGATTATTACTTTAGCATTTAGTACAGATATTGTTTTTTTTAACTGCCAACGCCTTCTGTACATTTTTGTTCCTGTTTTGTTCCAATTTAATGTTTTGCAAAGTCCTTCTATTACCCGATACTTACAAAATTTATTTGTAAGTATTGATCAGTATTTGTTTGAAGAACTATTTCGTGGGAAGTAACGAATTTTTTATAAGTTCCATCGGAAACATAACCTATCTTAACCATAAAAAAATTATATTTTGCACCGTTCCGTTTCGGGTTTGAAACAAAAAAAAATTAAGCGATTATCTTGTATTTGAGACGGTTTAGAATGAATCTAACTAATTTATCTTAGCGTACTTATATAAAAAAAATTAAATTATTTAAAAAAATTTCGGTGAGCCGAATTCAATTAGTTGAACATTTTTATTTAAATTTTTAAATCATACAGAAACATTTTTTTTTTAAATAAATATTTATTCAAACAAATATAAAGAATTATTATATTTAAAACTTAATATTTTAATTATTATATTTGTTTTAATTGTATTTTAAAACATTTATTTTTTAAATAAAAAACATGTCAATCAAAAACTTCTAGCTTATCTATAATAAAATACTTTGATATAAATATAACATAAAATTCAAAATCCTATAAAATAATTAAATAAAATGTAGCTAAATAAAATATATTAATTAAATAAAATATTTAAAAAACACTGAAAACATTTCAACTAATATTAAAAACCAAAAATTTAAATTGGATTACAAAATAACACGATACAATACTAAAACGTTACATTGGTACTAATGTAAATATACATGCTTTCTAATAACTATTTTGACTTTCGTGGTGCTGATTGCCGTTGACGTGCCAAGAACGTCTGCCCCTGACCCATAAGTAATGCTAATTTTGAATCTATTGCATTTCGTTGCGCATTCACGCCCAGTCTAAGTTTAAAGAAAGAATTTTTAATTATCTTAACTGTTTAATAATATTTAAAAATTAAGTATTGTATTTACCTATAGAAGGCTGTTGTCATAAGTTGTTCCTCCATTACACTCATTTTAGGTTTTTGTTCTTCTTCAGCTTCTGTGCTTTTTTCCAATAAATTTGCATCTATAACTAATATATTATAATTATTTATTAGCATAAATAGACGTACAAAATACAAACTTAATACTATAAGCTTTACTACAAGCGTCGTTGACTTTATTTGAATTTTTTTTTAATGTATAAAAAAATTATAAATATCAGTCTACGAGCTAATAGCATAAATGCTTCAATTCCCAATGTGTGGCTTAATCCAGATCTACCCTCTATGATGTCGCCCATATGTTTTCCAATCGATCTTTGGACCCATCGCATTGAAGAGGCTAGGTTTCTCCACCTTACTTCTAATTGACTTCAATTTGAGTCTCATCTATCCCAAATCAATTTTTACTCCTTAACAATTACCTCTTCTTTCACACTACCACTACCTATCCGCATCTTAACCCATTTATACGTCTTTGTGATCCCTTTCATGTTATCTACTTTACAGATCTCTGCGGGCTACATCAACAATGTAGTTTACCACTCTTACTATATTCTAATAACTCTCAATACAATAGCTGACGGTTGTTGCTCAATAGTCGCACTGCTACTGTTATACATTTTACATGTTCCATTACATTAGCCCTTGTTGTCACAACCATTTTTGATATAGATTGTTTATAACTAACATAAATATTTGTTTAACTCTTCAGGCTTATCCAATTTTAGATTTAAGTAATCACAGTACTATTCATTAAATCACTATATAGCATCTACATAATAAAAAACAGTTATTATTATATATACTACTTATTTATGTATTTATTTACTTTCCAATATAGTGAAAAATATCTGTATACCTTTCTTTTGAAAATCAAATTATTTCAGCGTTATACACATATTCAACAGAATTATATAAAGCCTTTAACTTTATATTTATATTAAAAATAAATGGATTCTAGTTTTATAAAATTGAAATAAAATTATGTACAAGTGTACAACATACATATAATATAATATTTGGATCTATTATATCTACTTTTTAATAGCGTTTTCGACAGATTTACTCTCGATCTCTCAAATTTTATGACACAATCGAACATTTTTAGAGGAACCTTACATTTTTTGGCCGTGTTAGAAGACATTTATATTTTTCACAAATACATATATCAAATTCAATCACAATTTTTCTGTCAAATCATATAAAACTGTTGTCAATTTCAGGGTAATCTGGCAAAATATTTGGAGTGTCATAAACAAATTTCGAATGTAATATATTTTGGCACAGATTAACCAATCGAAAATGAAAATTGCACTAAAAGTGCATAAAAAGAGCATCTCTATTGAAAAAATTACCCCAGATGTGCCAATCGAAAATGCCAAAAGTGTACTTTGATTATAATTCTCAATTGGTTTTGTTTTAATTCTTTATAAATTGCTTAGATATTTAGAAGAATGTTACTTGTAATTTAATATAAAATGTAAACTTTAATTCAAACATGGACTACCAATATCTTTTGAAATGCTTTAGGAAATAAAAAATTGCCTGCTTATTTTTATTGCAAATAAAAATAAATTTTTACGAGAATAAATATCCCCGCGCTCTTTTCAATGACTTTGAGTTTGACTTTGGAGCGTAGTAGTCGAATGATTTACTACGATATAAAATTTATTTGAAGTGTATAAGTAGAGAAGAAAAAACGGAAAGTTTAGCAAATAAATAAATACGTCATTATAATCGATTTTAATCAAATTTATGATTTGTAAAGCAAAAAATTTAATCAATAATAAATTAAAACAATTTGTATACGCACTTTTATGTAACAAAATGCTTAAAATATACAACAAAAAATTACTTAAAAGCATAAAGTAATTTGTGCATTTAAGCTTTAATTTTCTGCATAATTTGTCCTTATTTTTGGTCCTATTTCTGATATACTTAATGCAAGTTTTCCCTTCTTATTAACTAATCAACAAAATTGTCCATTTTAAACGAGAGAAAAGAAACATTTATTCTTAAAGTTGCTAATAGATTGTCCCTTTTTACTGAAATGCACTGTAGCAACTAAATTATTGACTTTTAGACAAACAGACATTGTTTTATTTTTTAGTTTGTAATGTAAACAATATATGTGGTTCATGTCAGCGGTGAGTACGGATATTAATTAAATCAGCAAAACTTCATATACCAAAAACACAAAATCTTATTTTCATATTCAAATTTTGCATACCCAAATAAAAAGTTAATCAAATAGTTCAATGGTTATGTCAATTCTAAGTACTTCTTAATAAACATTGTCATTTGCACGTCCAACCGATTTTGTTAAAAATATATTACTACTGTTTTACTACTTCAACATTTTCTAGTGCATGGAAGGTTGCAAGAATCATTCCAATTGAAAAAAAGTCGAATGTTTCCTTATGTTCTGACTATCGCCCCATTAGCATTCTTTCCTTCCTCTTGAAGATGCATAAGAGTATCATGGCTGATGCAATTTGTGGTCACCTGAAAAGCTTTTAGCTTCTGTCCCCTCTGCAATTTGGGCTTAGAAAAAGTTATAGCTGCACGACTGCTATGTTGGAAGTACTTGAGGATGTTCAACACAGCTTTGACGAAAAGTTGATCACATATCTATGTCTACTTGATTCTTTTAGGATCAAGTAGACATTGATCGCGTTGATCAATTTGAACTCTTTAACTCCTTCTTATTTCCTAAGTCAGCGGCAAAATTTATCTTTAGTTATTAAACTGAAAGGTCGTAGTCTGTTGTGGTATCGCTGAGTTCTCGACTTCGAAAACTCTTTATACTGGAGCTCCTCAGTGGTTAATTCTGGGTTCACTTTTGTTTTTAATTTATATAAATGACGTCTTTACAATTTGTAAATATGCTAAATTACATGGGTATGCTGATGACATCCAAATGTATATTTCTTGTAAATTCACCGCTATTGGAAATCTTATTCAGAAGATAAACATTGATTTAAAGAATATTAACGCTTGGGCCGTTAAAAATAACAGGCTGCTAATGCGCAAAAAACAACTATTTTGCCAATTAGTAAATTAAAAATTAATGTCAATGGTTTGCCTCAGGTGTCTATTGTGCAATCAGATATCGAATACAATACTTCTACTAAATGGTTAGGTTTCTACCTAAACCTAGGAAATATTGCTTGTGATAAAGTAAATCATGTAGTTAAAAAAGTATTCGCATGCCTTATATGTCTTAATCTATCACCGAAATATACTCCTGTTGTGACTCGCTGCATGTTGGTAAAACAGTTAATAATTCCTATTATTATGTTTTCCTCTTTAGTTTATTATAAATTATAATAGATGCAGTGTCTCTTGCTAAGTTAAGAAGCTTAAAAATATAACCTTTAAAGAATTTTGCTTAAATTTACCATTAGCTATCCGAGGATCTAAGCTTTTTATAACTTCTTTAGCTTTCTCTACACATTTTCTGTATTTGGCATCGCAAGTTATCAGTTCCTGTTCACGATTCGTTAGGGTGCCCTCTAATTGTGTGATTTTACCTTGTAGCACCACGTTCTGTGCGGCAGATTCTTCTAATTGCAAAGCTAAAAAATATAAAACAATTATGAGTATTTTAAGAAAAGCACCACAACTGGAAACTGCTTGTGTACTGCTTCATTATAATACATAATTATATATATTATGTTATCTATATCCACAATACATAAGCACATTCCTTAAATGTGATTGCAATACTTTTTTGTTCATTTAGTTCCATGAGTTGTTTAATTTGCTTGCCAAATTCATTTCTTTACAAAAGAAAAAATTCGTATCAAAATTCGTATACATAAAAATGTTTAAAATTAAAGATAGAATGCTTACTCTTTCAAGTTAGGATCATCACTCTGTGATGCATGCGATAGAGATAATATTCGTTCGTTGGCGGATTTTAATTGTTCACGCAAATTCTCGTTCCGCTTATTGGCAACGTCTAGGAGTTGCTGAAAAAAAATGAAATTATATTTCTTCATATTAATGGAATAATTTATTAGAAAAATCTTTAATTGTCCCCTAAAAAGATAACTATAACGGGCCCATATGGTAATAAACAATCACAATAAATTATTTCCACTACGCTATTTTTATAACATATAGGTTGATTTCGGAGATATTGGTTCTTGAGATTGGGTTTCAGCAAACCTGCTTACTGGACTTCTAACCGTATACTTTGTTGAAGGAAAGCGTATTCCTAAAATCTGACTTTTTAGGTGCTATCGTAAAGACGGGGTAAATTCCATTCAACACTTAAACTACAAACAATACAACTTCAATGTGTAGAAGATTGCGAATATTTTTTGCTGAGATAGCGCAGATAACAAAAGTAAAGGTTAAGACTTTTTTGTATTAGATTATTATCATAGGTTATTAAATAAATAAAAACCAAGTAAAATATTAAACAAAAATATTTAACTAGATAATGCATCCATTTAATAAATTTTTAATTGCTTTATACAATTTCGCGTTCGGAATGGCGATTTGTGTAGTATCACAATAGATCTGTTTCATGAAGCTTGAATACGTGTCTTCCCCTCTAAGGACTCGGTGCCATTAGTATCGGGCATTTACTTTATGCGAAGTAAACATTTTATAAGAAAAATACCGAAAATATCATATATGTGGTGAATTTTTAAAAAAAATTTTTAACTTTATCTTAATAAAATGAAATAAAAAATAAATTTAATGATTTTTCAATAATTTAATACTTACCGCTAACGCTGTTTGGCCGCCTTGACCCTCACGTAATGCTTTATTTTCAGCTTCTAATCTTTGAATTTTTTCGACTAAAGCTGTTGGCTGTAGCTCCTTGGACATTGTGTTAGCATTTAAGCCTTAAAAAAAACATATACATTAAATTAAATTGAACAACAACCGATATTATTAATAAATTAAAGAATATTATTTAAATAAATTAAATTATTATTATTATTCTTAATTAGTATATCATTTTCTGGAAATTTATTAAGGTCAATAAAATATTTTGTTCTAATAAAACAACTTACAAGATACTTTTAAATTGAAGCTATGATAGTATTAGGGCTAAATAATCTGAACCCAAGGTATCTCGGGCAAACACATAGCATACAAGCTCGCCAATGCAGGCATTCTGCTCTCTAATATTCCGATCCGAGCTGCCTCAACTAAGGTGTAACCTGCTCAACACTACGTTATCAGTGCTAACATGTAATAAGACTGAGTCTTCCCTATAATGACTTTTGTCAGCGCTGTGACTCTGGATATCAAGAGGAAACTATATTCCACCTCATATGTCAGTGTCATTGGCTAGGAGAACATTTAAAATCTTTGAGGGCCCTTTTCTTACCAACTTTACAGAATTTTCATCCTGAAAAGTTAGGGACTTTGCCAAGTTTATAGACTAGGGAGGTTGGTTAACTTAAATAAATTCGTACATTGAACACTGCGGTCTTTTGAGGAGCCCTTCTGGTGTACATAGTACTAAATGCAATATTTTCAATTCATCAGCTTGATGCATCAACTAAATATTAGTTCAAAAATTGTAAATACTGCTCTACAATATCAAGACTACTTGAATTCAAGATGGATAAGGCTTGATGCATCAATATCAAGACTACTTGAATTCAAGATGAGTAAGGTTCAGAACCCAAATCACTATTAATTTTTACTGTTTTGAATTATTGTTTAACCACGGACCAATGAATATGGCACATCTACTGCCATATATTTGGGAATATTGAATATATTTGAAAATTTCTTCTTGATAAAATTAAGACTCGTTTGAGCGGACAGTTATTTTGTATTCTTTAAAGAGTCTTATTGGAACAGTTTACTCCAATAACAATAAAAAAATTGTATTCAAAAAATGTTCACTCAAAAATAATGTAAAGTTTAGAAGAGTTTTTAACGTACTATAGCAAATCTGGAAATAGGCATTAGAGAACAGATTGGGGTTCTAGATATGGTTGAGTCTACGTCACGGACGCCAATTAAATTTCAACCCACCCCCAATTCATCTTAATCCCTAAAAATCCCCTATCCTCTTAAACTACCATCATACGTACATCCTATCCGAAGTATATATATATAAATTTCCTTTCATGTTATTTGCTCGACAGATCTTCACTGGTTTTACAACAACAACCACGTTACAGAACATCAACATTAATGAGGAATTACCGCCAACTAATCTCATTGGAACGGAACAGACAAAATAGACAAAATACAAGTGTGAAATAACGATTTAGTTTATGAAAGTAAAGCACATCAATTTTACAAGAACTGTTACTGAAATATTTCTTTGAGGAATAAAATAAGTATAAAAATCAAAATTGAAAAAATTATCAAAAATTATTCTAAGAATTTGGAGATTAAATATAAGTGGTATATAATTATCAGAAATAGTAATGTTGCACTCGTTTTATATAATGGAAACATTATCATATTAAAGAAGTGAATAGGATGAATTTAAGGTTTATCGTAGATAAATAACGATGTTTGAACAACTGCGAACTTTAGTAGCGATGTTATTGTTCAGATAATACATGCAATCGCTCAAATATACGTTTAAGTTCACCACTTGTGTTGATTAATGTATTTATTATATGTTAAGTAAAACAAAAGACAAAACTCTGACTTAAGAATCTCTCATTATGACGTAATACAGTATAATTGATTGGGGTTCTGAACTCTCAGCGGAATAGAGTATTCTGCACAATAATCTGCTGTATTAACAACTAATCCTTACTGAACAAAAAACATTCTGCTTATCAGATAGCGATAGGATCTACCGGGTATTCATTCTTCTCCTGACTGAGATCCCAGGTTTTATATTTATAACTTTACATGCTTGTCTTTCTTGATGTACGTTCTAGAGAAATTGAAAAATATATTATATATTAATATTTAATAAAAATATCTCTAGCGTCCTTTTCGCACGAAAAATTGATATAAACATTGTAAAAAATGTTCTGCAATGTCAAAATTTTGATTTTATATCAATTTATCATACAAAATTAATGTTGGTACTAGGCTGTAGTTAAAAAAAAACTACTATATTAATACTAAAGTTTGTGTTTATATATAAACACAAAATATAAAAACAATATATCTAAATTTTTACAGATGATATATATATATTCTCAATTAGTTATTTTTTAATTATGTGATTCTACCGCGGAACTCAACAAAATATAGGAATATATTTTGCTATATGTATTTGACAATACTCGACACAGCTGTATGGTCAGCCAAAAATTCAATTAAAATATAATTAAAATAATATAAAATGAATTTTTGTTATTGTAGTTAACTACTGTTCGAAAAACCTCTTTATATGTATCAAATAAATTTTAAAAATTAGCGACTAACAAATTATATCCACATATTAAATGTAACGGATTGAAAACTTACTTCCTGTGCTTGTCGAAAGTTGCCCACATTTTAATTCATCTATAGCCTCTCTTAAGTTGTCTCGTTCCTTTAGTAAGCTATCTTTAACACGTTGCAATGCATTCATATTGCTTTCTAGATTTTTGTTTTCAAACTCAAGTTTAACATTTTTACTCATTTCTACGTCCAGCTTTGTGTGCAGCTCTTGCACCTGAATTAAACAAAATAAATTTATTTTAACTTAAAATAGTGGGCAATATGCATTAGTACTTAGGTATCCACTTTAAAGATATCTACTTGCGCTTTTTAAAATACGTACTTCTTTCTTGAATAGCTCGACTTGACCTTTAATAGTGGCATATTTCTTAGCATCTTCTTCAAACTGTGCATTCTGTTGTACATAGTCAGCACTTCGATCTTCCAGCATCTTTATATGCTTTTTCATATCATTATAGTCTTCCAATTTCTTTTTATATGTATCCAGCTGTGCCTCGCACATTTTTAATTGATCATTTGATTCGCGTAGAACGTCAACTTCATCTTTTAGTTGTGTGAGTACAGTAGTACTTTTCTAGGAAATTTATGCAAATCAGAATGTATATATTTTACCATTATCATATAATGAAATATATAATATTTTTAATATGTCTAATTTACCGTCAATTCATTGATACGTTCCTGCATTATTTGCATTTCTTTATCCTGCTGTTGTGTCTTTAATTTGAGATCTTCTCGTGCTGTTTCGGATTGTAGCAATTCTTCTTTAAGCAAATCTAATTGACGACGTAAGTCATTATATCGTGCTGAACCAGCTTGTACTGGACCTAATGACACGCCATCGTCACCAATTGTAGATGTTGTACTCTCTAAACGATCAATTTCATTTTGTAACTTTAGGATCTCTTGCTGAAAATTGTTCTTCTCATCCATCAGCAATACAACCTGTTAGCATACAAAACTCATATTAACCATGAAATTTTTTTATTTAATAATACTCACTTTCTTTTCCATTTCAAAGCATTTTTGTGCTAAAGAATCGCGTTCTTCTTGCAAATTCTTATAATCGAAATCGCTGAGTGAATTACCAGAACTTGATGGAGTTTGCCACGTTGACTGTAATTCCTGTAATGCACGCATTATATTCTGTTGTAATGATTCTTCCAAACACATTATTTCTCGTATATATTCTTTTTTCTCAGAGCAATTCACTGCGCAGCCGAGAACCAATTGCAACAGTCGTTCCAATTCGCCAATATCACACTTTTCAGCAATGCATAAAGCATCCGGTCTACGAAATTCTGTGAGTGAATAATTTAACACATCGGTGTAATAGTCGTATACTGCTTCAATAACCTTTTTCAAATTGCTCATTTTAAGTCGCCAATTACTTCCAGCATCTTTTTTGATTTTCGAGAGCCAAACATCTGTAAACAACAGAAAACACAACTTATTTTAGTGAAATCTGTAAAACGATTGGATGCACACACTTACCTGTAAAAGACTCTGGTGCAAATTGATTTAATGCCTGAGCTAGCGCAACCCCATCCGAAAGTTCCTCCACAGTACAATGTGGTGCTTTTAAGTTTAGAGTCTTAAACCATTCAATTAAGCTCTTACACATTTCAGCACGACTCACTTCCATTTTTTATAAATATTTACAATTGTTTTAAAGCAAAAAAATTAAAAAAATAAATACAACAATTAAAATATTATTACTTTTTATCACAATAATAATCTCACTTTAGCGATAACATTATATCGATAATTTAATGCGGCTGTGTTTTGTGTCATGCAAGTTACGATAACAATAGTTGTATGAATCACTAGCAGACAATTTGAAATATTAGAAAATTGTTTTATGTATCAAAATTTATTATTTACTATTATTAATTTATTATTATATAATTACAAATCGAATTGTGAAAATTGAATTTATGTTTCAGTCGACAGTTTTGGAACTGTGTAAAATGAATAAAGAATTATTTATAAATTATTTTATATACATATTATTAAAGTTATTTTTAAATAACTCAATTACCGAGTTCAAACTCAGTGAAACTTCTGTAATTCGATACCAAAAAAATAGGGAATGCGGAAGTTGTAGGGTATTTAAAAAAAAAAACGTATGATTGAATACTTTGCAAAATGTAATCGTTATTAATCATAAATAAACCATACAAATTGTTACTAGGTTCTTTCTGTGCTGAAATTTTTAATAAACGATGGGAAGACTCAACGACATGCAGGCATCTGTATGCAATCTAGCCACTTTTCACTAAAAGGAAATCCACTAAGCTCCACGAGTATAATGAGATGCACCGTAGAGATATCAGCCTTATTTATTAAATTTACTTATAGGTCACTGTTAACTAGGATACCATACTAGAAGATTGAATCTCCCTTTCAATCATACCTGTCGCAGATATGGGATAGACGATAAGAGTGCATCTCAACTACTCTGTCTTTGCCCAGCTAATGCATGGCGACGACTCATCACTTTAGGAATCCTTTTTCTTAAGAATCTTGATCAATTACAAGACCTCACACTAAATAGCATTTTGAACTTCGCCAAAGGTTCTAGGTGGTTTTAAACCCTGAGTTTTCCCATATATACGGTAACACAATGGGCAAGTAGGCCTTGGTGGATTCCCTAGGGATCGCTGATGTAACCTAACCTAATCATAAAAAATTAAAAATATTAACATTAGATTAAACGAAATTTAAATACTGTTTACACAGTCATAACAATTTTACCACCAAAAATGATTAACTTTATATAAGTATATATGTGTATATATTAATATAAAATGCAGTTAATTAAATTTTAGTTCAATTTATTTATTTTAGATATATTAAAAATTTTCTATACAAGTATTTGTATCTGAGACTTTTACTTATGTAGCAGTTAAAGCCAACTTTTTACTGAAAGATCCATTTTTAACAGTGATTAATATTAGTTGTTCTGTTTATCATCCAAATTTGATATACCATAAACATGTACATATGTAATTTTAATAAATAAGAAAGAGTCTCTTAGAAAATATTACTTCTTACATATATTTCTATTTCAAAACCGATTTAAATAAAATTGACATATATATGACATATATGTCACTTGAATCTAGCATATACCAATTATTTCATTTCTCGAGCATCTACATACGGTTACCAGACATGTCACAATATAGCCCTCTGCTTCAATTCTAAAACTTCATTGTCCACAACTTCATCGTTGTTTCAAAGTAGACCTGCATTACTTCAGCTATTATCACAATTGCTTGCTGCAGACAATACTGTTGTGATGCTTGTTAAGAAGTTAACTACATCTTAATTGGAGCCTGCAACATAACAAATATTGGTGAACTACTAACCAATTCTAAGTGTTTACTCTGTCTGAAGATAAAAGAGACTGACTATACTTCGTCCATACCAGTTTAGGCTATTGGAATAAATTGGCAACAATTTAATTAAAACTATCACGAACTGAAGTACGGCTGGAGTCTGTGAATCCAGACACTTTTGCAGTGAGTGATAGCTGATTGTCTGGTGTAATAAAGCAGATTACATTCCTGAATTACATTCTATAAATTTAGAATAAAATTCTCTAGATATAAATAGATTTTCCAGTTGATAACTTACAAAGACATGTGTGAGAGACAGGTGTGAGAGAAAATAAAACTGATATTTCAGATATAAGTTAGTCACTTAGGTGAATGTATAGGAAAAAGTGTAATTGTTGATCCAAAAATATAAGGTCGTCAGTTATATACATGACTGACAGAAAATTATTTAGGTGAAGCTGTGAGAATAAATGAGATGGAAGTTTTCCATTCACTTAAATAAAAATAAGAATTTGTAATAAATAAAAGTAATGTCTTTAAAATTGGAAATCTACAAATTTGTATCTAATGTGTGTAATCATTATATTGCACTTGTTTAGAGAAGATATATATATGTATAGATTTAAAACCTCGACTCACGCGTTGGATTAGTTTAGGTTATACCGGCGATTCCATGGGGATCCACTTAGACCTATAGGCCAATTGTGCTAACGTATTATTAAAAACCCAAAGGTTAAAATCAAGATCCTCAAAAAAGAAAGCCACTCAAGTGTTAAGGCGGCGCCGTGAACTTTCATCGTCCTCACAACAACTGAGACAGATATAGTTGAAAGGGAGCTTTAGTCTCCTAGCATAGTTACCTAGAAAACAATGACCTGTAAGTAAACCTTCTGCAAGATTATCTCCACGAGATATCCCTATGAGAGATTTTGGTTTTTTTCTATTGATGTGTCGCCAAATTCCATACAGATGCCTAGAAATAGGTCAATCAATATAAAAAAAATATTTACATTAATTTGCAGTAATATCAATGAAACTAATTTAGTTTTATATAAACCATTTCATATCACTTCAAAAAAGCTAAAATACTTTAGTTACTAAAATTCTTAACTATGTTATGATTTAAAGTAACTAATATGGGATGTGAAATCAGATATGATATTTATTAAACCAATTGCGGTCATATGTGATAGCTAACCCTTAAACTGTGCAAGTATCATTGTCATTTAAGCAGTTTGATAGAACTATGTCAAATATCATAAGATTTTATGTCATATATTAAATTTTACACCAGTACCAATAATGACAAACCTGATATGAAAGAGGCGGTACGGCACCGTAGCCGTATTAAAAGACAAGTGGCATCGATAAGTCAACTATACCTGGAAAATTGTAATTATCATCATACGTCGCTGTATCTTATTGTCATTTGGACCGAGTAGGTGTGTATCATTTTCCACTCAAAAATATTGAATCTATTTATCTAATATATATTAAAAACAATATAAAAGGTTAAGGCTACAACTAATTTCGATAGATAAGAATGTCATAGTTATGTATCAGAATTATATTTCTAGTCATTTGCTCTTAATACGCTATAGGTATCGCTTCGATCATCGTTGCAGTTGACCCATTTATCGAGTCGATTAGGTGATTCAAACATGATCTAATCTTTGATCGTTTTCTACTTTCGATCATTTTGCTCTGTATAACCAGTTATTCCGAGGTTTCTGTTCGTCTCCCTACAAGACCATAGCAATTTTTATATGGATTGAAGATTATGTTCACGTCTAGTATTTTCGTATAAATCTTAAACCACAGAGACGTTAGTTCTATAAGTAGTTCATGGAATTTTCACGTCTCTGCCGTACAAATGTGTATTTTTTATTGTTCTCGGTTTGGTTATAAATACATTAGGAACACCAAACTTAATTGAAACTTTGTATATTTATAGAACCATTTTATGGCGATCTTTGGCGTAGATAACATTAAAGAAATTATAAATACAAATACATGTGTTAGAATATGGTTAGGTGAAAAATGTGAAAGAGGAGGAAAACAAGATTGAGTTATAAATGCGTGGGATTTTAATTAAAACTAACTTGAGTCGAGCCCGAAAAACCTGACCAAGTCAATAAGGCAGACCAAAAATCAATTGGTCTCAAATTGGTGTATGTATTAGCATATGAAAACAGATGGGAAACATCATGGCGGGTAGAGCTGCTTTTTATTCACCAAGCCGTATAATAATACTGACTTGACGCAGGCATAGAATATTTATATATACATATATTTCATAGTTTAGCATAAGCTACACGACCTCCTTGAATACGGCTTTTTACATTCGTTTTGTCTTCAGCGTCCGTGGAAAACACTGCCTAGATATGTGAAACTGGTAACGTTCGCGATACTTTGATCGTCAATTAAAAAGGTATTACTAGTTTGTTTTAATGCGGATGGCCTTAGTTTTCGACTAGCTTACGCGTTGGTCACGTCTAGTTTTACCTGCATATGATCCTGTCTGTGTGACAACACTATCAGATAGTCGGTGTAATCAAGTTCTTCAAGGGGTTTATTTAGTCGTGAGTTTATTCCGCGGTTCTCGGTATCAAAGGTGTCGAGGAGCAGAAGGTATCCTTGACAGACATCCGTCATTGATGGGAATATCTCGTTTAGTGCTCCCTTCTACAACACTCTCCACTGCACGGTATCATACCTATTTTTAATTAAATGAATTAACTTCATAAGGACCCCGTATCTTTCAAGAGCCGTCCAAATGTATTCTCGCTTAATCGAGTCGATGACAGTAATACGATCCCCCGCTAGTTATTGCAATCGGAAAGGTTACCCTTCTTCGGAAGTTTTATAATTACTTATGCTTTCCATTCTTTTGGTAATCTTTCGGTATTCCAAATCTCTCTAAATAGAGGATAAGGAATGTCGGCGTCACTGAACGGTACTGTTTTGAAGCATTCTCCCGGCATGTTGTCTAAGGCAGCCACTTTCCCGTTCTTTAAAAAAAGTAATAGCATCAACTATTTCTGCTTTGCTAGGGATGTCTGTGCAAATGTTTCTTATAATATAGGTCTTCTTCGCTGTGTGCTTGTTAGAAAATCAGTATTGGTCGTTATGACATACATAGTCTTTTTAAAGTGGTTGCGTGGTTGAGTTGATCTGCGTCCACCTAGACCAGATTACTTTGCACAAATTTGAAAGTATATCGTTTTTAAAAAATTTTAAAGTACCGTTTACAGATTAAGAATACGAAAGCATTGGACGGACAGACGGAATTAGTAATAAGGATACCATCTAATACCATATTAGAAAATAAATAAAATTAATTATTACTAAGTAAAGAAAAATAAAAACAAATACTGTAGTGTCGATTATTGTATGCGTTTTGCTTTATTACTTTTAAAAGCAAAAATACAATTTAATATAAATTTGAACATATTTTCTAAATCAATAGATTTAAATTTTCATAATATTTTAAAACACTTTATATTATAATAGATAAAAGCTTAATTATTGTTACTTATATCGATATCTTTATACAAAAATATATAATTTTCTTTTGTATTTTACAGAGAGAAACAAGATGCACAATTCGTTTTATTTGACTCATTCGTATAAGTTTAAAAAAAGTAATTGGATCTTAATTATATATTTATTTATGATTTTATATCCTATAATCTTGCTACTTTAATATTCGTTTTATGACTATTCAGTCTATTGATTCAGTGATGATATTTGTAACCATAGGTGAACTTGGGGCACAAATAGCTTCTATAGCAGGCTGTTGTATTAATTTTGCGGCTATATTCATTTTTTGATCACGTTCTTCAATTTTGTCTACAGCTGTCCAAGAAAAATCGTTCTCCAATCTGTAACTACCTAAATATGTTTGTTCTATGTAACCATTCCAATCCTGATAAACCAATTAAAAATAGATGTTAGAATGAAAATTTACAAATTTGTTTATAATGTATATATTAAAAAATTTTTAACTTTTTAACAATAAATAATAAGTGACAATATTAATTTTACAATAGTTAAGGGAGGCTAACAAATGAGAAGAGACAAATTTATAAAAATACTAAGAATTTTAGAACCGCTAAAGGGTTCTTATAGCAAGTTCCTCTTCCGTGATTCAAGCTGGGATCTGTAATCAAATAACATAAAAGAATATACAAGACGATTACATGGGTGGAAAAGCGGATGGGTAGTGGTTGATTGTGATGGAGCAGAGAATGAGGACAAGAAGTAGTTTGGGTGGGTAGAATTTAAATTGAACATTAACCCGGGTCCAGACAGAGAAACCTCCCCACTTCAATGGAGTAGATCCAATGATCAATTGGACGGAAGTTTGTGTGCATTGTGGTACAGAAGAACATGAGCGACATCATGGGGACTAGAGCTGCAGTTTGGGTATACATTAGGAATAGACGTTTTTATGCGTGAAAAGTAACTGTTTAGCACTCGGGTATATTCTGATCTCAATTGAGGTACGACAATTCTTGCTGCACGGGGGAGACATTGTTCTTTCTCGTAGATGTTAAGCGGAGAACTGTTGAGAACCTTGTTGTGTAACAATCTTGGTCCTGAAGAGGATATTGCATCTGTGTAAAGAATAAAATGTCGGCTTGGCACATAGGCGTAGCCTAAAGCATAAATTTTGCAAATTTTTTTTTATAAAATATGTGAAGTTCACATTGATAAAGGGTGAATGAATAACATATATTGATACAAATTAAAAACTATGAAATTGTTTCGCTAAAATTTTATTGCCGAACTTTTATTAAACCTTCTAAGGGAATACAACAGTGATGTTCGATATTTGACACATATAAAAATATCGGAAAGACTACCAACCTGTTTTTGGTGAACTATAATAATATATGTATGTCTATATATATTTATACATATATATATATTTATTTAAATATATATTTATTTATATATTTATTTACTTAACACTAAACGAGAATAAATTTATGCCTTTAAATATTAATTAATGTGTACCAACGGTATGGACAAATCAGTTATTACTGTAATATAATATAGAAACACAGTTGTGGGAATAAAAATCTATATGTAACGTAGACTTAGTTAAGCCATTACTTACTTTTATACTTGCCATAAAAATTAAAAAAAGGTCCGGTATTTTAATTTAATTAAGATTGCAATAGTGTGTATACCAATTTAAACAATTACAAATTCCTATTTCGTCTATCCAAGAATAGATGGGAAAAACGCTAATATGTTTACTTTTAATGTACTTTTATATAGATGGGATAAGATGTGAAGTGATTAAGAAGTTATTAAATTCACTTAAAGAATTAGAAATCTCTTCTTAAGTTCTGCAGTTATTTTGATTCTTATTTATTCTGATACTCAAGCAACTATTAAAGCGCTAAACTGCTAATATCAAAGTAAGTTGTGCATTGCGGTGAATCTCTTAATGAGATGACCCAGCAATGTGACATACATACAATTTGATTGCTAGAATATTGCAATACAGTCAAACTGTAACGCTATTAAACTATCCAATAAAATTACTATAATTAGTTTTAATTACTTCTAAACTGTTTTAGAAAAAACATAAATTACTGCTTCTTTATCAACTAATATTATTAACAACTAATATTTGTTCCTAAAGGAAATAGATGAATGATGGTATCAAGGATAACATATTGACAACGATGCTTATCTTGTGAAAACGAAAACTAAAAAGTCACGAAAGTTTCTTTTCATGAGAAAAGATTATAAGACATTATACAGATATTACACCAAATGGCTACTGCATAATCTACAACGATGAAGAGAAAGAAGAAAAAACATATGAACACTTCTCCTTTTGCATTCGGCGGACAACAAAGCAAAATACACATAGTAATTAAAAAATATCTTATGTATCGGTAGTGTTTCTCTACTAATGTTACAACAGTTTGTAAAGGCTTATAGTCTTTATAATAGTTTAAAAACTTGAATTATGAATCTTTTTGAAATCATCTGGTATCATAACGCTTCCATTTTACATTATTTTAGTTTCTGAATAATGAATTTTAACTAATCAAAATTTATATAATTTCTTAATAGAAAAGTTTTTTCAATATGCTTTAGTAATTCCGTCATAATTGACTTTAAAAATCAACTTTGATATAATATTCATTTTTCATAATTAAAATAAAAATAAATAAATTACTCGAAAAGTGCTAATTCACTTTTAATTTGTACAGTAATTCAATCTATAACGCTGTACATTAGTTCCGCGTTATAGGGGTATTCCCGTATATCCCATATACACACGTGCAAAGGTACACGAAGCTAATTATGAACTATACAAATCCCCGCATTATATGAGGGAATGCCCCTATATATAAGGGGGATTGAAATCGCGTAATATGAAAACGCGTTATAAGAGAACCGTGTTATAGGTGGGATTACTGTACTTAATTAATAAATAAATAATATACTCACTTCTGGCGTTAATATACTGAAGTATTTTTGACCCGATGGCTTTTGATACAGATGATACACTTTCCCAGCTTGCTTTACAAAATTGCAAGCAATTTTATTTAAATCCATACTTTCATTTGCTTCTCTTATTATATCAGCAGCTTGTGATTGCAAAAATCTTATCTGAAAAAAATTTGTTATAAACTTATTCAATTCAAATTACATAATTTGGTGTTTTTTATAATTCTCAACCTGGTCAAGAATGAGGCAAAGTTTTCCGCATGTATTTGATCGCAAATTTTTATCCGCCTTTTGGATTTCTTCTGCCAGACTTATTATATCCATTTCATCGTGCATGGATACCCGACTTGGACTAACTAAAGGGAGTCCATTAGGCGCCGGATTACGTTCTACAAGTTGAGCTAAACATATACAGATTTTTTAGTTGTTGGGTATAGAGTTTTAGAATCTCTTAACTCAGTCACTCACCTTTTTTCACTGCAATTTCATATGTCATATGTTCCATAGCACTTCTTTTCATTAGGAATACTTAAAGTTAAAATTTATTTTTATTCAAATTGTTAATTGTTTAAAACAATTAATTTCAAAACTCTTACCAGCACAACAGAGGAAACTAGAAGCAAATCATAACAATTCTGCTTGCGCTAAGAAATGTCAAATCTGTCATAATGTAAGTTTTTTAATTATTTTGCGAACACTCCATAATATGTTTGGTATATTTGGTTTGGTTTTTATAATTTTATAATTGGTTTTTATACGAATAATTGTTAAAAAATTTTTGAAATTTTTATTTTACAACTTAAATATAGCTGTAATCTATAATATTAAAAGATTTTTTATAAAAATTTAAAATATGCATATAATTTTCTTATAATTATAATGATTAGTATATACCATGACCGTCACGATTTAATAACATATATTTGTAATATTCATTTTGGATGACCTTTTTCATTACGCTATATACTGATATAGCTTGGTATTTGAGATATCTAACTGAAAGTAATAAACTTTTTAGATTTATCATTTAAAAAATACACGTGCCATCTAGCGGTGACTAGTATATAGAATGTCAAAATTGATTACACAAACGACGTTTAATAAGTAGACGCGCCAGATATCAAATCGAACTCAAACCATATCAATAAATATTATTGTTTAAAGGGATAATAACACAACTTTGGGTTGTAAACATCTATTCCGCTATATAAATTAAACACTAAAATAAAAATTTATTCTCTATTTTAGTACATTTAGGGATTATTTAAAATATACTACAATGACCGTTTGTTAATTAGCATAAGCGGAACACTACATTGCATGAATGTCTATAAGTTCGATACAAAATAGGGTAGATTTAGAAACTATGTTGGAACCTATGTCATCACGTCCTTTAAAGATACAGGACTAAATAAACCACGATAGTATAAATATATGATAATAATAATATCTTAATTAACGCACTTTTATAGTTGCTTTTTAAAAATAAAATATTAGAGTGATCAAGTTGAGGGAGCATTAACCGCACTTGACATATGAGACGAGTATGCAGCAGTGGCGCATGAAGAGGAATGCTGCCTCGGGCCGAAACCCGATAACGGATTGTTATGGTAATTTAAGTAAGTAATTGAGTTTATTATTGATATGAATATCTAAATGGTACAGTACAGATATCTTAAACGTTGTTTCCATCGGTTCTTATCACAAGTGAAGTAATTAAATTTTTTTATTTAATTTTATTTATTTTTATCTATGCTATCTTTTAATTATTTCGCTTTGACGCAATATTTATTTGATATAGATAAAAACCAGACAACAACCGCAACTAATGACAGCTGGATGATGCAATAAGGACGACGTAATTAACATCTAAATATTTTATAAATATAAACAAACACTGCTTTTAAATAAAAGTAAACATTTTAATAAATAATAGCAATCCAATACAATTTGTGTAAAACGTAATTCAAATTTTTTTTCGTATTTTTATATCAAAATATTATAGTTAAATATGAGCATTTTTGTTTTGAACGCAGTAGCTCAGTTCAGCAAATTTTAATGGCCAAGCGTGCGAGTGTTGACACTGTGATAAATTAAATGTTTTTAAATGCTTTCGATGGATTTTAATGACGTCATAACATTTAGTTTTGCTAAGCATAACTAAACATTTAGCTTAGTCTTTGCAAAAGAAGTAGCTAATTCCAATATTTCATCAACTTTTTCATAGTTGGGACCTGAAGCTTGTGCAGATTCAGCTTTACCACCACCTTTACCGCCAAGCACTTCTGAAATGTGTTGCACCCATTCATTGGCTTTGAGACCTTTGTCGATAGCATTTTTCGGTACCGAAGATAAACAGAAAATCTTCTTGGAATCTGTATCAACAGATACAAACATGGCAGCAGTTTCCGGACTGAGTGTACGCACTTGTTTGAGTGCAGAATCAAGCGCCTTTGTATTATTAAAGGCGTCTAGTTGTTTTACCAATATGGGTGCATTAAGTTGAGCTTGACAGATTTCTTTAGCCTTTTCCACTACTGTAACTGCTACAGCTGCTTTTGCAGCACGTTCCTTATCGTCCAAAGTCTTCTTGAGTTGTTTAAGTACAGTACGCATTTCATCCTTTTTCACATGCGCAATTGTAGCATGCGAAATGTTTTCAGTCAGCTCCACAATTTGTTTAACAAACATTTTGGAGTTCTTGCCTTCTTTATCTTGTTCGATTGTATTTTGCAGTGTTTTAATTTCTTTTTCAAATGCTTCGCATTTCTTGAGTGCTTTTACAGCTTCAGGGCCGGTAAGTGCAACAATGCGACGTATGCCTTTGGCAATAGCCTCTTCGCTACTTATTACAAAGTCTACAATGTGTCCAGAACGACGTAAATGAGTGCCACCACAAAATTCTACCGATGTTTGTTCACCAGCCTCCGCATCAGGATTCTTCTCTAGCTCCTCCACCGGCACGCCAAATGATATAACACGTACAGGGTCTGGATAAACTTCGTCAAAAACAGATCTTAAACCACGAATGGTTTTTGCAACAGCAAGTGTGGATTCTTTAGCATAAATAGGTACATTTTTATATACCAAATCACGTGTTAACTGTTCTGTTTTGGCTACTTGCTCGATTGTCATAGCAGCTTTACTGTTGAAATCAAATCTTAATTTTTCAGGCACAACAAGTGAACCTTTTTGATCGGTATCCTTGCCAAGTACTTGTAAAAGGCAGTGATTTAATGCATGAGTGGCGGAATGATTCTTCATTGTTAACGAACGTCTTTCAACATCGATTTGTAAATTCAATTCATCACCCACAGTTAGGATACCTTCTACGACACCAATATGTAGTATATAACCACCACGATTATAAACTCGATCCACCAAAAATTCATTTGCTTCATCATTAATTTTAACTAGTGCACCTTGATCGAATATCTGTCCACCGCTTTCAGCATAGAAATTGGTTTTATCCAATATTATTCCAGCCTTTTGTCCAGCGGTTACTTCGTTTACAAACTTATTTTCAAAACGTAGTGCTACTATTTTACCAGTGCATGGTGCAAAGCTATAAGCAGCCTCACGTTCATCCGATGCAGCTTCATATTTATATTTATAGGAGTCATCGGTTGTTGGTATCCCTTTAGATTGCAATTCAGATATTGCATGGACATCTAAATTGATTTCATCAATTTTACTAGCACCTTTACCTTGAGATAGAATGTATGAATTTTGCTTGGCTTGTTCATACTCAGTCATATCGATTTCAAGATTTTTCTCTTCAGCCATCAATTGCGTTAAATCTACAGGAAAACCATAAGTATCATATAAGCGCCAGGCTACATCACCTGGTATTATTTTTTGATCTCCTAACTTTGCAATGGTGCGGTTTAAAAGATTTCTTCCTCTAGTTAGAGTTTTCAAAAACTGTTGCTCTTCTTCGTTTATAATATCAATGATATGTTGTGGATCTTTCGAGACTTCAGGGAAAGCATCACCTAGCAACTCAACAACGGTATTGACTAATGTTGAGAAAAATCCAGGCTTTGCATTCAGTTTCTCTGTGGCATACCTGTAATGAAATATATGTTGGAAATCTACAATGGACTTTGTTTCGTTTTGGAATATCAAATCAAACCAGTTTAGATGTGTACAATTGTACTGTATTAAATTTGTAAAATAAAAATCCAAACTGACTTGATCACCAATAATAATAAAACTTACCTAACAGCACGACGTAATATGCGTCTTAGTACGTAACCACGACCAGTGTTATCAGGTGTGCCACCATCTGCTAGCGCAATAGTGATTGTTCTGGCATGATCAGCTAATACACGGTATGCCATATCAATGCCATCAGCATCATCTGCACCAATGCGTCCCTTATAAGCAGGTGCACCCGTACCAGCTTGTATAGCCTCAAACAATGGCACAAAAAGATCGGTATCATAGTTCGAACGTTTATTTTGTATTACAGAAACAAGTCGCTCATAGCCCATGCCGCAGTCAATGTGCTTCTTCGGCAACAGTTTTAGACTGCCATCCTGTTCACGATTATATTGTATAAACACTAAATTCCAAATTTCCAACACATCGGGATCATCCATGTTAACCAATTCGGGCACACTTCGACCACCAATGCGATCAAAATGCAATTCAGAACAGGGACCACAAGGGCCGGTTTCACCCATTTCCCAAAAGTTATCCTTCATGCTACCGGGTAATATATGTTCTGGTTTTAAGCCCAAATCTAACCAGATTTGTTTGCATTCTAAATCAGGATCTAACCCACTTGCTTTATCACCGCCAAAATATGTTACATACAAACGTTCTCCGGGCAAACCTAAACGAACTGTCAAAAACTCCCATGCCCAAGCACATATCTCTTTTTTGAAGTAATCGCCAAATGACCAGTTACCCAACATTTCGAAAAATGTATGATGGTACACATCCTTGCCGACATCATCAAGATCATTATGTTTACCGCCAGCACGTATACATTTTTGTGTATTAGCTACTCTAACCCATTTTGCCATCTCACTGTTGGGATCAGCAGTTCCCAAAAAGATGGGCTTGAATTGATTCATACCAGCATTTGCGAAAAGTAATGTGGGATCATCTAATGGTATAGTACTGGAGGAATGCACATAAATGTGCTCCTTTTCCTTGAAGAAATTCAAATAAGTTTCACGCACTTCTTTAGCAGTTAAAAATTTCATTTTGATGCTGCTGCTATAAATATTAAATATATATAAAAATCAAGATTAGAAATAAAAATAACTGCCACGTAGAAATAACAACTACTAATAATACTAACCGAATAGTGAAAGTAAATTTACAAGTTTACGTGACAAAACTTTATTATTTTAAACTCCCTACATATAATTCATTTTTTGTGTATCAAACTGAATAATATAACAAATACTACACTTTTTTACTTACCAGTAGCGTGTTTATATAGTAATGAATTCAACAAATTTCAACAAGAATTGAAATAACAATAATAAAACCAAATTTCGTCAGATAAGAGAATTGACTCAACTCACTTCTTTACTGCCGACACGTTTTTGATTCACCAGTAAAAAAATATTTACAAACTGAATCGTTGTTATCGATAACAAAATTTAAAGCAAGTATGTATTTTGACATATTCTGAAAAAGTATCGAATAACCAATACAGTCATTGGCTATCTCTAAAAATAAAATTCAAATGTCTTTTTATAATTAATAGAAAATCATTTTATCTTTCATATTAACCCACTCGCTGCGATGATTTCTTGATTTTATTTTTCTTTGCTCTCTTTGCACTTGCTTTGTGAATAGTAAACGTTACTATAATGAAATAAATTTTACATATTTGTTTACCGCCATTTATTGTCTGTTAGAAAACTGTTTTACAAACAAGAAAATGTTAAATTTGCAAATCTTTTCCTGTTCAGGTGAATAAGTCTAAACGTCGCAGTGAATGGGTTAAAGTCAAGGGTTTTTATATTTTTATTTATTTTTGAATTTTGCTTGAAGGCATAAAATTAATTTTATGATCTTAAATATATCATGTTTCCACTGCCACTGAAACTACTTATGTTAATGTAATTAAGATCTGGTCGTTTCCATTGGCATGGCTGATTTATGCATTTGAAATAGCATTTATGTATCAGAAAGTTTTGTAAGGACCATGTTATGCAGAGTGTCTCGGGCACGGCAAATTACGCTCTTTCGGGCTATGCCGAAAATGCATGTTATGCAGAGTGTCACATCAGTATTGCCAATTTTAAATTTTTACTACTTCTTGGTTGTGCCTAAATTTAAAAGGAAATTTAGATATGCTCACTTTCAATTTGCCACCAAAAATAACTCGCATGAAAAAACTCATAGAGGTTGTAATAAAATGTTAATTTATTATTATATTATCTTATAATAATTGTTAACAGTACTTACGCGTTTCTTTAAAATCGAAAAGTGTAATAATTATATTATTAGCGATTTATAAAAAAAATGCTGTGTTGCTTACTGCCATTTTTTCTCCAAAACGTACTAGAACTGTAGTAATTTGCTCCTAAAAGTCGCAAATTTTGAAATTTATTACTAAACAATACTGTTTTGCCTTAGTAAAAGTTATATTTGAGCTTTTCTTTATTTACATTTTAATTGTAAGCAGATAATATTTAGTTTTTTATTGTTAGCTGTTGTATTAATTGATTCAACATGGTAAACGTGGAAAATACAAGCAACTTCATGAAACTTAATTATTAAAAAACAGCAAATAGCATTACTTTCCTCATTACTTTCTATTTCTGGTAGATAAAACCAAACTTTGGTATTGTGAACTGTAAGCCGATAGAACTTTTTCAGCAGTAGACAAATTTCTCTATGTAATAATTCATCTATATTTTTTTTTTGCTTAGCTGCTTAATATATCGGCTTTTAAATGTAATACCTATATTATGTATTGAAAACAAAGGTTGTATTTTTGTTTTGTTCTCTTATTGGCGTATATGTGTTTATTCGAATCTTTTGAACAAAACAGTTTTCCTGTAGTTAACTTAACCGTGTATACAAACATTTCTTAATTTTTCAAGTATATTCGTGGACAAATGTTAGTATTTCTACAAAATTACAAAATGAAAAAAGGCAACTACTAACCAGGCAACTACTGTCAAAAATAAAAAAAAAACTAACCAGGCAAGACTAGATATGCTAAAAGCATTAACGAATGTTCAAAAACACATCTTTTTTATAAAGATGTGTCTAGGCGCTTAGAAAGTAATGTGTCTAGGCGCTTAGAACATGAAATTCATCTTCATATTTCTTAGCAAACAAATTTAACAAAATTTATTAGCTTTTCTTTTGTAACCATATCACAAAAGAACAACCACTCATTTTAGAAATAACATGTGAAACAACAACATTGCTGGCTTATTTATTTAGAATTTATTTATTTAGAATTTTTTTGAAACCGTTTAACTAATTAGGAGCTCAAATCGCATAGTTACTTACTTATTTACTTACTTATTTGGCCATAACAACCCGTTACCGAGTCTCGGCCTGACTCAGCATATCTCTCTAGGCGCTTAATATTCCTTCAAATTTCACCGTTTATTTGATATACAATATTGTATGAGGTAACTTCAAAAAAAAAAAAAATTATTGGGGCATATACAAAGTGATGTTTTGAGAAAAGTCCAAATAACAGTTTTTCGCAAATAACTCGAAAACGGTACAAAGAAAAAAATCGTTTTGATTTTCATGTTCTACGGAAAATATCCCTAGAGGAAATATGGGTCTTGTCTTTGAAAAACAAAACTTTTAATTATTTGTACACTACTGTTATTTAGTTTAATCGTGTTATAACACAGAAGAGAGTTAATTAATTTAAATTCTAAGAGAATCAATGCATATAAAAAAACAGATTTTATTTTGCTTTATTTATATACATATATCCAAGCGATAACTCGATGTGTATTCTGCTGACGAGCGCCGTGAAATTGAGTTCATCTCAACGCAATTCCCACCAAACGGGGAGCAAAAGTGTCATTAGTTAGTAGGATATATATATATTGTAAATACATATACGTATTTATCCTTATGCTACAAATATATCTATAATTTATTTGTGCGATTTTTGTATTCCTTCCAATATATACATATATAATAGTTTCAAATGCTTTGTCATAAGACCGCCGCAGACCTTAAAACAATTCTATTTATATTTTATTTTTGATATATATATGTTAATATATATACATCTTTTTAATAAATTTGAAGTTATACCATCCCAACGAATGATCAAACGCTCAATGCCTTCTTGCAAAATGCGACGTCTTAAATATTAATTCGACCGAACTTTTTTGTGTAGCGCATCTTTTCATTTGCCGTTGATATTTTCGTTGTTTGTTGTATTCTGTTAAGTAACTTCTATGCTTTATTTTTGTGTTTTTCGTGTGCTTTTGAATTTTTCGTGTGGTTTCAACTTCGCCGTGTTTTGAGTTTTGTTTTAAATTCCGGAAACGGTGGTTTCCATTCGGCAGATGGTGGTTTATTTCTAATATTTATTTTATTTATTATAATAAAGATAAATATTAAAATGTTTAAAAAAACATGATTTAAGTTAATGTAAATTTTCGTCGTTACCGTTACAGTATATATTTGGAATATTGTTAAGAATATGTTAGCTGGTAAGCCTCAAATGACTCTACTTAAACGATGGCATATAATAATATACTATGTATTATATATGGAAATATATGCATTTTTGTGAATATATTGAGAATACAGTACACTTTTTACCATTTATAGCCTAAAACGTTTATTATTTATATAATTTAAAGTTAAATACCAAATGAACTATGCCAAACACATCCACAGGCTAATAAATTTTATAAAATTTCGTACTGAAACTGAATGGTTAATCAAAAATTGATGACTAGATAGGAGATACTGTATGGTATCTCATTGGGTCCTAGACATCAATCCCAAGTTTAACAAAACTTTAAAAATTTGTTATTGAAACAAGATGGTTTATCAGAAATGAATGAGAAGATAATATCTCCATTGTGGCACAATGGGTCCCAGATCTGAGTTGTTAGATCAACAAAACTTGAAACTAATTGGTCAATTTAGTTTCCTCAAGATATTATCAACGATAATCAAAATAACTGAATAAAGATTGACCCACAATCTACACTAGATAAAGTTTTGAAATTTTTTTTGGATATTTATCCGTAAATTCAAAAATATACGTACTTACATTCGAACATAAAAATCTTGTATTGTAAAAATCTAGGTAGTGTAGACCTCAAGTAAATAAATAATATAAATAATATTTGTGTTTCAATAAATTGATTAATTAGTCCATACAAAATTGAAACATATAGTTCTATCCATATGCTATATTTATTTATTTTTGTAATATTGTAATATTGTATCTTTATGTGTTTTTTATAAACGCTCTGCTTGGTTGATCCTTTTAAAAGTAGTGTAATGTATTGATCTTAATTTTTCTCTAACATATTACTAATAATGATATATTTTATTATCAGATATAAGTATACTGGAGATAAAGTATAACCAGTTACCATTGATGACGACGATGCAGTAAAAAACGAGTTAAAGAATGATGATGTAGATGACTAGATAAAGAAATTTATACTTCCCTCTCTACCACAGGAGTTAGTCAAAGAGCGAAAAAGTCTAATTTAAATGTAAATGAAGATAATGATACAGTAGAAGATAATGAAGCAGATGATGCTGCAGAAGAAGTCAAACAGGAAAGACTGAAGTAAATAAATAATATATAATCGATGCAAAACCCATAAATAATGTTAATATTCAATTTTTAGGAAACTGCTTCCATATCTCCAACAGGTGTTCGCAAGCGTAGTGTGCGTAAAGATCAGTCCTAAAGGCTAAGAGTGTTACTTCAGCTTATACTCATAATTAAAAAAAATATATATACAGATGAAACTATTGCATTCGTCGCAAATAGGCGACACCGGCTGTACATTCAGAAAAGCTTTTCTATCTCAACATATAAGAAAACAATTAACTATGAAATTATTCTAAAAATTATAACTTAGATAAAAAGCAATTAGAAATTAAAATTTAGTTAAAATAAGTAAGGAAAGTGTACACATTCGTATTGTGTAGTAAATATTCGATGGCGTCTTTTTTAGTTTTTGTTTTTGAATAATGTTCTCATTTTAAAATAAAATGTATCGAGCTTACGTTTTTTGCTTCATCAAAATTATATACCTTACTTTCTATTAGCATATTTTTCATTTAAAAATGGTACAATGGTAGCTCGAATGTGAGCGAAATCTAATCAGGGAAGCTAATGAAGTCACGCCTGGAAGAAATAACTTTTTCTGTCATGTCAGCATATTAACTTCATCAGCCCTCCCTCCCCATCAAGCTTCTGGTTACGCCTATAGGTGAAAGAGATGTTGATTAAATCTATAAAATTTAAATTTAACTAGTGAAACTTTTAAGAATGGTGTTAGATAAATAGATTATCACTGAAGTATACTCCTATAAAAACATTTGATTTAAACCATTATTTAACAACTCATATTATCAAAAAGAAA